AGAAATCATTTAAATTATTTTTTTAAGTGTTCTCTACTAAATGGCAATAGGGAAAATAATAAGAAAAAAAATTTTTTAAAGATTTATTCATTTATTCATACAAAATTGGGGTACAGGCCAGAGATGTGGAGGGTGAGAGGATTCACCAGAGACAGAGTGGGGAGCAGAACAGGCAGATTAACGAAGTACACTGCTGAGGGGAGCAGTGGGTGGGCCAGGAGAGGTCTGCCTCGCCATGTGGATCTCCTCCGGGGCAGGCAGGGATCGAACTCATGCGGAAGTGACTTAAGGTTCTTAGTGCTGTGCTTTAACCCGCTGCACCACCAGGGAGGGCCAAATAATAGAAAATTTTAAGAAAAAAGAATTTCTATGTTCATAGAAAACAAATAAATGCAGTTAGTTTTCCCAACAAATTGCTAGATTGTTTTCATGAAAAAAAGAAGCAATACTTCTTTAAGAATAAGGAAGTTAGATTTTTCATTCCCAAGCCTGTCATTAAGTATTTATGTAACTTTGGAAAGATTCTTTTAAATTGTGTGGGAACTGAGTACTTACTGTCTAAAATGAGGGTTTGTATAAAGATCATTAAGGCACATAGTAAGCTGGTGACATGTTAATTTTTTGTCTAAAATAGAACACTGAAATTAAAAGAAGGTATTGTTAATAATTCTAGTAGCAGCTATTTACAGTTTATATGTGTGTATGTGTTTATAGTTAAGGTTACTATAAGCAGTAATGATTTGCATTACTGTATATGGCTCAGAAATATAGGACCCTATTTCTTCTGATATATGTTACCACATTACAGCCACCGCCAAAGCAGACACTCATAGTCATTCACCATAATTTATTTTGCTCCCTCACATCTTTACTCTCCCCCTGCCCTCCTCTTCTAATGGCCTCAGATTTATAGTCAGATTGTAGTTTGTTTTTGTCTGATGTTTTGCTTTGTTTCTCTGTATTCCACATATGATGATACCATTAATATTTGTTTCCTCCTTCTGGAATATTTTGTTTAGTATGATATCTTCCATTTCTATTCATGTTACAAGGGACAAAAATTCATCTTTTTAATAATTGAGTAGTGTTCCAGTGGATATATGTGTACAAATTATACGTATACACACACACACACAAACACATGTTATCTTCTTAATCCACTTACCTGTCTTTGGTCACTTAGGTTGCTTCCATAACTTGGCTTTTGTGAATAGTGCTGCAACGAATGTGTATGTGTGCACATCCCTTTGGATTTGTATTAATGTTTTTGCATTCTTTGGGTAGATACCTATGAGTGGAACTGCTGAATTATACGGTAGATTTTTTAAAAATATTTTGATGTGGGCTCTCCCTGGTGGCGTAAGGGGTTAAAGCACAGCACTAGAAAGCTTTTGCAAACCACAGCAGCACAAGTTCAATCCCCCACTAAGGAGCTGACCCACATGGCTGGCAGACCTCTCCTGACCTGCCCGCTGCTCCCCTCAGTAGTGTATTTCAGTCAATCTGCCTGAAATACACCTCCCCATTCTGTCTCTGGTGAATCCTCTCACCTTCCACATCTCTGGCCTGAACCCCAGTTCTGTATGCATAAATAAATAAATCTTTTAAAAATATATATATATTTTGGGGAAACTGTATTGTTTCCCATTGGGACTGGACAAGTCTACATTCCTACCAATAGTATATGAAGGTTCTCAGTCCACATCCTTGAACCACTTGCTGTTTTGGGATTTTTTGAAATGAGCCATTTCAAATGTGAAATGTTGTCTTGTTAGGGTTTTGATTTGCATTTCCCTGATGATGACTGACAGTGAACACTTTTCATGTGCCTATTGGTCATTTGTATATCTTTGGAGAAATGTGTATCTCAGACTTCAGTTTATTTATAATAGGATTCTCTGCTTTCTGTCTTTGAGTTTTATGAGTTCTTTGTAGATCTTGGACAGTAACCCTTTGTCATATGTATGGAGTGCAAATATTTTCTCCCATTCATTAGAGTGTTTTTGATTTGCAAATATTTTCATTCACTCTGCAAAGCTTTTAACTTTGATGTAGTCCTTTTTATTTTTGTTTTTGTTTCCCTAGTCCCCAAATATACCATTGAAGTCAATGCTGTGCATTGCCTATATTTTCTTACATGTATTTTCTTATTTCAAGTATCCATATTAATATTTAATAAATTTTCAGTTAATTTTTATTTGTGCTGTGAGATATAGTGGCCTAGTTTCATTCTTTTGCATATGATTGCCCAGTTTTCCCAACACTATTTGTTAAAGAGATTTTTTTTCCTTTGTTATAATTTATTCATATAAATGTGAGTTTAATACTGGGTTTCCAGTTCTATTCTGTTGGTCTCTACTTTTGTTCCACTATACTGTTTTGGTTGTGATAACTTTGTAGTATAGTTTGCAGTTTGGTTAGGACTACCTTGGCTATTTAGAATCTTTTGTAGTTTATATAAATTTCAGTAATGTTTATTGTGTTTCTTTAAAGAATGCTATTGAAAATTTGATAGGGGTTACAATGAAGCTATATACTACTTTGGGTAAGATGACCATTTTAATAATAATGTTATTCCAGTGCATGAACAGTATCTTTCCACTTATTTGTATCTTCTGTCTTTTTTGACAATGTTTTCATTATACCGATCCTCTACTTCCTTTGTTAGTTTATTCTTAAATGTTTAAATGCTTTTTTGATGTGATAATAAAGGCGATTGTTTTCTTGATTTCTTTCTCTTCTAGTTCATTGTTTACATATGGTAACACAATTGGTTTTTGTATGTTGCTTTGTAACCTGAGCTTTACTGTATTGACTTATTGTTGCTAATTGTTTTTTCGTGGAGTCCTTAGGGTTTTCTTTGTGTATTACCATGTCATCTGCAAATAGTGGTAGTAGTACTTCTTCTATACCAGTTTGGAATACTTTTATGTCTTTCCCTTGCCTGATTGCTCTAGGTAGGACTTCTAGTACTATGTTGAACAGATTTTCAGTTTTTCTAAGTTACACTTCTTAACCTATTGTCATGAATCTACTTTCCCTATAACTCTTGCAAAATTGGAATTTAAAATGCTCAAAAGTATGAAAAGACTGGTATTAATCATAAATGTTAAGTGTTGTTCATTCTGATAAAGGTAGTATAATCTGAGGAAATTATTTTTTAAATACCTGCTTGATGTTATGAATGGTTGACTAAAAGTGCATCCTGCATAAATATAAAATTTTTTTGTTTAAGTATAATTAATGTATGACATATTCATTCTGGTGTACAAAGTAATGATTTAATATTTATATACATTGCTAAATGATCACAATATAAATTACCATCTGTCACCATAGAAAGTCACAATTTTTTTTTAAAGATTTATTTATTTATGCATACGGAAGTGGGGTACAGGCCAGAGGTGCAGGGGCAGTGAGAGGATTCACCAGAGACAGAGTGGGGAGCAGAACAGGCAGATCAACAAAGTACACTGC